GAGGTTTTCGAGCCTGTTCCTCCTGCCAAGGCTTCTGGGTCTTACCAGCGGCCCTTTGTTGCTGCCTTTCCCATGGACTCTTCCTTTTCTTTAAGGGCGAAGGGCTTGGAGGACGGCTCTGCCCCGGGGCCTCTGTTGCTGGTTCCGGGGGTTGTGGGGGATGCCTGCTAGCAGTTCTGGGGCGGTTTGCCCCTGCCTGGGTTTTCTGCTTTTGGGTGGAGTTTTTCGCCCATCCAGTCTGCTTTCTTCCCACTTTTGCTGGCGTGTTTTCGTATCTTTAGCGTCGGTCACAGCCCTCTGTTCTGGCGGCCATTTTCGTCTGCCGGTTTCCTGGCGTGGCCACCAGGGCGGCGTTGCGGTTTGTTTACAATGCTCCTGGGTATGCGAGCGAGCTTATTGGGTGAGTTTTCACCTTTTTTCAGGGGTTTTATTCTCCTGTTGTCATTTATTTGCTTCTCTGGTGTTTCTATGCACTTTCTTGCTCCTTGTATGTTGTCTTCTCTTTCGCATCGGGTTGTCTTGTCCTTTCTTGGATTTTCAGGACTACAGTTATTTGATGTTTCTTACTGTCGCCTCGTTTTGTGCGGCGCTGGCGGAGCCGCTCCAGCTTGCGTTCTGGGTGGACGTCACATCTGCCCCATTTCGTACACTCTCTCGTGTTTTGTTTCACCTCCGGCCTGCTCATGTGTCGCCTGAACCGTGCTGGTCCTTGATCAGGGTGCCTTCTTATCTTCTCAGTTTGTGGTCGCCCCTTCGGTTCAGGTTTCTGCTCTTTGGTTCTGGTGGTAGATTTGTATGTGTGCAGCCTTTCTCCGTCCTGGCGACGGTCGAGACGGCTGCTTTCCGGAGGGGTTCTTGGGTTATTGATGCGTGATTGGTTTGGCCGGGGGTACGTTCTGTGTTGTCCGGTTGCGCTTTTTGCCGTTACCTGCGTACCGTGTGGATGCGCTCTGGTTGGATCCGGTTCCCCTCGTTCCCTGTTTCAGGGCTCCGGTCTCCCAGGTCGTCCGCAGAGTATTTCAGTGTTCCAGCCTGCGGTCTGTCTTTGCGCCCGTGCTGTTCGGACGTTTGCAGCTTTTGCTGCTGGGTTGGTGACGTCTAGGGCTCATTTTGGGCGTCTGCTCCTGTGCGTTCTAGTTGATTTGGGTTGCAGGTTGCAACCTGTTGTCTCAACTTCGCGTTGCGGAGTTTGTGGTGGCCGCCTCCCGGGTTAGCCCTTTCTTTTCCTTCTCTTTGGGTATGAAGCTCCAGGGAGCTGTAGGGGCTCCCCACAGAAAGCTAGCGTTGAATGTAATGAAACGCCATTTTCTGGGTGAGCTCCGGAGGCTCCCTGGCAACCCTCCCTCCCACCGGTCGGGGGTATTTTCGCGTTGGTTGAAGCTTAACTTCCGAACTGAAGCTTGGCAGCCGGCGCGGTAGGTCCGGGGCGGGGAGGGCTGCGAGGACGATCGGCGCGGCAGTAAAGTGTGATGTTTGCTTGTTTGCTTGTTTCCTTGGGATTGTAGGGAGTTTCTACCTCTCTGTTCGGTTTTTTGTTTTAGTTTTTTACCATATGGGGTGTGTTTTGTCATGCCTACCTTTCTGGGTGCTTTACCCCGATCGATGGCAGATAAGGAAAACCCCAACCACAAGGGGGTTTTCCAGGGCCATTGCTCCCCTGAAACCTCTCTGAAGGGGCCAGGTTCTGGCACTGGTCCCTGGTAGGTCTGAACTCCTTAGCTAATGTCCCTGTCTAATATAACATACACTAGCCCGATAAGCTCCAGGGAGCCTCCGGGGCTCACCCAGAAAATGGTGTTTCATTACATTCAACGTTGTTTTTTTTTATATAAATTCGCATTTAGCGTGTTGGTTTTCCAGTTATTTTAAAAAATCCCATTTAGCATGTCAGGGATTCCAGGTAAACTCTATGGACAATTTTTGTTTTCAAAATCGTGCATTTTTCAATGGAGGATGTGTTCATAGAAGTTTATTAAGAGTTCTTATGAGGAAAATAATTTCATAGAAAGCATCATAAATTTTTGTATTGCCTTTTCTGCCTCTCTTCTCAACCTAACTTATATATTCCTGGCACTCTTGGTATCTTTCTCTGCTCTCAAGTTTTCTGTTATTTCTATAGTTTCTCCACGCCCTTTTACTTTGCTGCTTAGCTAGCCTACATCTCTGATTAAACCATGGGTTTCTCATCTTTATTTCATTGTTTTCCTTTTGGACTGGGACAAACTTCCTTGCTGCCTCCTTACACTTCTGCGCGATGTAGTCCATCATGTCTTGGGCTGTCTTTCCCCTGAGCTCTGTTTCCCATGTTATATCTGTTAGGAATTTTCTTATCTCCTCATAGTTTCCCTTTCGGAATGCCAGCCTTTTGTTTTCAGTACCCTCCTCGAGTTCAATAACCCTTCTTCAACCAGATACTCAAACGCCAGTACACTGCTCGCTCATTCCTACTGGGGCCCCGAAACCAATTTCCCATATGTCGGAGTCGTTCAGAGTGAAGACTAGGTCGAGTCTCGCTGGTTCATCATTTCGTCTCATCCTTGTGGGTTCCCTGACATGCTGGCTTAAAACGTTTCTTGTTGCCACCTCCAATAGTTTGGCTCTCCATGTATCCTTACCTCCATGCAGTTCCTTGTTCTCCCAATCTGTCCTTCCGTGATTGAAGTCCCTCATGATGAGCAGAGGGAGCTATTTCTACAGGCAGCAGAGGCTGCCCTCTCAATTATAGTGTTAACTGCTATGTTGTTGTTGTCACACTCTTGCCTGGGTCTTGTCATTTGGTGGAGGGTTATATATCACTGCTACTACTACCTTTGGTCCTTCCATTGTCATAGTGCCTGTTTTGTAGTTTCTGAATCACTCGCAGCCTGGAATAGTCATCTTGAAACTCTCAAGGAGTCACAAAACTCTCGAAAACCTTTCTCATTATTAGAGCCACTCCTCCCCTTCCTTATTACAGTGTAGTCCTGGGGAAACACTGCATTCATTATGATTCCTGAGAGTTTTGTTTCTGTGAGTCCAATTACTGATGGGTTCACTCCTTGTGCTCTTTCTCTTAGTTCATTTGCCTTGCTTGTAATTCCGTCTATGTTCGAGTACATCACCCTGAAACTGACTCTCTTCTGTCCTTTCTTAGTTTCTATTGGTTCCCCTGAAGCAGAGAAACAGGGAGGGACCGGGATGGTAGGGCCTATGAAGGGGGACCTGGGGGATATGGGGTGTGTGGGGGCTGGGAGGATTTGGTACGGGGAGGGTGGTGGAGGAGGGAAGGCTTGGCGGGATGGGGGGGAAAAGAGGGCTTGGGTGGTGGGAAGGAGGGGGAGGCTTGGGGGGTGAGGGGGAGGCTTGGGGGGGGTGAGAGGGGAAGACTTGGAGGAGTGTGGGAGAAGGGGGAGGCTTGGGAAGGTATGGGAGGAGGGATGGGTTGGGGGGACTTAGGGGGGGAGAGGCAGAAGAGGAAGGAGGTCTTGAGGAAGGGAGGTTGGGGGAAAGGGAGGGCTGAGGGGAATGAGAAGGGAGGGCTTAGGGGAGTGGGGAAGAAGGGAGGTCTTAGTGGGGTGGGGAATACTGGAGGGTGGGGGGAAAGGGAGGGCTTGGGGGGTGGGAGAGAAGGGAGATCCTGGGGAGTGGGGGGAGGGTTTCCTAGGTGGGCACCTTGTGGGGGACTGGCAGGAGTTGGGGCAGGTAGGACGTTTATTGGGTGGAGGGTGGGGGTGGTGTTTCTTTCACTTTGTTGAACTGATTGTGGAGGGTTCCCCACTCCCCTCTGGGATTGTAAGGCTCGGGGTTGTGGCTCCATGATTCTTTTCTTTCTCTCTGCGCTCCCTCCTCGCAGCAGCTGTCCTCATTCTGCTTTTTTGAACTTCGGTGCATTTGCTTCTCCGCCCTTCCTTGCTAATAAGTCCTCTTTTGTTCTTTTGGTCGTGAATACCAACTTTATTAATCGGTCTCTGTCCTTGTTGTACCATATTCTGGTCAGCCCTCTCCATCTTTACCCCTTTAAGGATTTCATTAACTTCATTTTTGTCCTTGTCTCTCCACTCCGCTGGACTGATCCTTGTTTGCTCCTTAATGCCTACTATTACTACTACTCTTTTTTGCTCTACTGGTAGTTACCTACTTGTGATAACCTACTGGTATTTACCTACTTGTGATTACTACTGGTTCTACCATGGACTAGTTAAGTGACACGAACTTACTAGTTTACACCATAATAACTGACACGAACTTACTAGTTTATAGCATAATATTTGACACGAACACTAGTTTACAGCATAATATTTGACAGAAACACTAGTTTACAGCATAATAACTGACACGAACTTACTAATTTACAGCATAATATCTGACACGAAATTACTAGTTTACAGCATAATATTTGACACGAACACTAGTTTACAGCATAATATTTGACAAACACTAGTTTACAGCATAATATTTGACACAAACACTAGTTTACAGCATAATATCTGACACATTCTAGTTTACAGCATAATATCTGACACAAACACTAGTTTACAGTATGCTGAGTTGTTGCATTACTACGTTAGTCATCCTCCTACAAACAGCATACTTTACTGACACGGGCGAGTAACTCAGGCTGGAGCTTCACCGCCATAGTCCTCTCACTGCCCTCCGAATGTGGCGTTGCTTCCACGTTGAATCAACGTTGTCAGTGTTAATTTAATATTGATAATGTTTATTCTGCGTTAGGTTAGAGTTGCTCTTGGATGTTATGCCCACTGGGCAGCTCCTGGCACGCCCTGGGAATCTTGTGACCTACGTATATGCCTTCACTACCCCCTCACCCTCCTTTTGGCACGTCCGATGTAGCTTGTGGTAGTCCAGGTTACCAGTACTGGTGGTAGTCCAAGTTACCAGTATAGGGTGAGAGTACAGGTGGTGCTACAGATGGTTCAACAATCATTAGGTAACACTTGTAACAATGTTTTCTCCACAGTGACGGTAGAACACCTGAGTCCAGGTTACCAGTATACGCTGAGGGTGTTGGTCAATACTTCACGCGGCGCTGCAGACGGCTCAACCAACACGAGGGTTCGCAATGTCACATTTGTTACTCACTGTTCTGGTAAGGCTTTTAGTATTGTCTTATATCATATGTCTGAGATGAAAGTGATCATGAAAGTCATTCATTTTGTACTTAGAACAATGCTGAGAATTATATGCTGGGATAAGCGTATAGAATGGTATATGCTAATATAATGTTAAACCACCTGCGATATATGTCATTTGTGATGTGGTTCTATCCTTCAGCCCCAAGACTTGATGATCTTCAAGTATCCAACATCACCGACCAGTCTGCTATTGTCACCTGGGTAAGTTAAGGCTTTAAAACATTGGAATAATATGGGACTGGGACGGGATGTTGTGGGTAAGTATGCGGATGTTCTAGGTGTTGGTGGAGATATTATGGGTAAGGGGGGGGGGGGATTTTATGGATGTGGGTAAGGGTAAGGATGTTATTGGGCTGGGTGAGGTTGTTATGGGCACGTCTATACTTCCCTTTTTATTCAAATTTTCCTCCATCTTTTCGCCCTCTCTCTTCTTCACTTCCATTCCTCATCCTCACTCCTTAGGTTCAGTCATGTCAGACTGAACCTAAGGGCAGCTGCTGAGTTAGGGAGGGTGGGGGGGGGGGCAGGCTCTGAGTTAGGGAGGGAGGGGGAGCAGATGCTGAGTTAGGGAGGGTGGGGGGATGCAGGCTCTTAGTTAGGAAGGGGGGGGTCAGCTGGTGAGTTATGGAGAGTGGGGGAGCAGCTGGTAAGTTAGGGAGAGTAGGGGGGGCAGCTGCTGAGTTAGGGAGGGTGAGGGGTCCAGCTACTGAGTTAGGGAGGGGAGGGGCAGCTGCTGAGTTAGGGAGGGTGGGGGCAGCTGCTGAGTTAGGGAGGGTGAGGGGGAGGTGTAGATGCTGAATTAGGTAGGGTGGGGGGAGGGGCAGATGCTGAGGTAGGGAGGGGGGGGAAGATGCTGAGTCATTGGGCGCCAGTAGTGTCATTATACTACCTCAAGTACGTACTCTCCCTCCCTCCCTCCCTCCCCTCTCCCCTCTCCCTCTCTCTCTCTCTCTCTCTCCTCTCTCTCTCTCTCTCTCTCTCTCTCTCTCTCTCTCTCTCTCTCTCTCTCTCTCTCTCTCTCTCTCTCTCTCTCTCTCTCTCTCTCTCTCTCTCTCTCTCTCTCTCTCTCTCTCTCTCTCTCTCTCTCTCTCTCTCTCTCGTAGTAAACAGTTCTAATTGAAATTCTTGTAATGCTGAGTGGAAATTTTCGTCTGAAATTGTAATGGGAAGTAGATAAACACAAGCTGGCCACTACCAGCTGGCTGACAAGCTGCTGACCTATTACAAGCTGTCGACGAGCTTACCACAGCTGTTATTCCTTCTGCAAACAGCACAAGCCAGCTGTTACCATATATATACACTCTGGGGCTTGACGCGAGATTCAGTGTAACTTGGGGAGGGATAGAGTATTTGGTAGGTCAGTCTGTCCTCTTACAAATTATGACTGAATTTGGCCATTTGCCCGTATGGCCGAAAATTGACAAAAACATTTAAAATATATTTTGGATTTTTTTTTCCAAAACAGTAAGTTAAGGGTCATCTGGTAGGTTAGGAAGGCTGGAAATTCTCCTAAAGTTTCAAAACGTCATGAAAAACGTTAATTGAAAGTTTCCTCTCCTAACCTTTCTAAGTAAGATGTACTGTCCTGTTTTCAGTTTGAGTCGTCTGACTCAAACCTATTCCGTTGATAGGTTAAGTAATAATTGTAAATAAGAAGCAATAAGATACTTATCTTAACATACTAAGAAGGTTAGGTGAGGTCGGTGTTTTCTATGAAGCTTTTCAAGGTAAACTAAAATATTCACAATCAATTAGTATGTCACATATGCACTTATTAAATAAGCCAATATTGACTGTAAACAAGTGCAAGAATGGGTTGACTTCTTCTTAAGGTCATGTTTTTTTATTAATGGATTTAAGTATCCCCTTTGTAAGCCAAGGATTGTTTAGCCTTTTGGTTGTGACTTGTTTCGTTAGCATAGAACAGTGGGTGTTATAAAGGCTGAGAGTTTTTTGAAAAGAAGATTGCACTGCTAGGTTGATGTCCCCTATGTTACCTATCTCGGACTCTCAGTTGACATTAGCAGCAGCAGCTATAAAATTGCCTATAGCAGTTTCATTGTGCAGCCTAAAACTTAACTTCTTGTCTCTAGAGGTGGTTTGTTAATGTTAGTTAGGAGAAATGTCGGGTAATGGTCTGTAGTGCTATCGATGATTATACCTGAAGATGATTATACCTGAAGTAAGCGGAGAGGTTATGTTGGTCCAGATGTGATCTAGAGTCGTGGCAGTACTATCAATGATTCTAGTAGGTCTAGTGATTAAGGGTATGAGGAAGCGGGAATTCATTCAGTTGAGGAAGCTGGCAGCAGTAGGGTTTTCAATCTCGCAGAGGTCAATATTAAAGTCCCCCACGATAATTAGATGGTTTTTGTTCAGTCTGTTGTCTAGTATTAGATTTCAAAGGTTTGAGTTGAATTCGGACACATCAGTGTTAGGAATTCTATAGATTGCACCCACAGACAGGACAGACTCAGCGCCCTTGACTCCTAAACTGGCGAAGATATACTCCCCTCAATAGTCTCTAGTTCTAATTACTTTTAAGCATGTTAGTTCTTGGTGGTAGTAAAGAGCAGTACCACCACCTCTGAATTTGACGACAGTTGTGAATTGCTGAATAGTTAGGCATGTTACAGAGTTGAGTATTATCCTCTTTTAACCACGTTTCAGTAAGTATAAAAACAGAGAATTTGTTATCAATAGTTTCAATCAAGGCACTAACATCTACGAAGTGTTTACTTAGAGATCTAACGTTCAAGTTAATTACAGAGATATTGTGATTATGTGTTAATACATTGTTTACATCATGTGCTGTAAAATATCTGCAATTCTGATCATTAAAGTGATGATTGTCATAGATAGTGGATAAGAGGTTTAGTTCTGGGTCTATACTTGTCTGCATAAAAAGGCTGGTTGTAGGAAAACAATTCTAGAATGGCAATTACAAAATAAAATTTTGATATAAAAGGGGGGGGGAAATATATAAACAAAACTATACAAAACAAACACAAAATGAAGAAAAAAAGAAAAATGAGGTAGATTGCTTACAAGTACTCCCAGGTACGCTGTAAGTAATAATTTGCATTTGAGACACAGGCAAAGCTAGGGGGTACAATGGAGTAAGGGAGCATGGCGAGGCTAGGCAACCTAGCTAATAAATGAAATCAAAGAAAAAAGTTTAATAATAAACATAGGCAAATTTAAGCTAATGATTATTAACTATAAATAGTTTAGTTGTGATCCTATAATTAATAAGAACTAAAGAAATATTAATGCACTCAATTAATTAAGTTCAATAAATGACTAGTAAAAATTAAATTAAAATTTAATTTAAAAAGTGTAACAAAGAGACTTAGGATACCTAGCCCGCACTAGGTGACAAGTGGGTTAATTAAGTTGATTCATTGAGAGGGATACTAAGGTGAGACAAACCACATTGGGAGAGGAAAGTGTTGAGGATATCCTCATTAGCAATTGTAAACTTTTTACCTCCGGAAGTCTTTCTCACTTTAATCATGCCATCTCTAACGAAGCACTGATGAATCGCATCTGGGTTTTGATAGCGGATTTGACACAGGCGGTAGAGGAGTTGCTGTCTTTTTCTAGTCAAGCACTCGTTGATGTAGATTCCCTGTCGTTGGGATGCAGCTGTCCGCACAAGATACGATTTCATGGACAGGGAAGCCAGCTTGAGGCGAATTTTCCGCTGGTTTTGTCCTGATGGATTCTTTTTGCCTACTCTGTAGGCAGCAATAATGTCTGTTTTGTTTAGAGTGACACGCAATTCGTTTTTTATGAGACCCTGAACTATTTCAATACACTTTTCACCTTCACTTTCCACAGGAATATCTTGGGACGACACAACAACAGAGTCAAGCAGCTTTTGCTGGTCATGTTCATCCTGGGAGATGGAATGTTGGGCGGATAATGTACTGATACATGCAGTCATTTTGTTGAGAGCTTCCTCTTTTTTTTATGGCTTCATCAGTTTTCAGACGTATGTTTTCCTCACGGAGATCATTCAAGTCATGCTGGAGTTGATCTTGGCTAGCCTTAAAGTTTCTAATATCCTCGCCGAGGAGGGTTATTTCTTGTTGTTGTTGCTGGAGGTTCACGCGGTTCGCTTGATTCTCAGTTTGAAGACTCAGGATGATCGTATTTTGAGCCTCAAGGACTAGGCACAACTTTTTGAACCACTGATTCTCGGCCCAGTTAGGGAAATCCGGTGAGGGACCAGAAGCACGCTTGAATTTCGTAAACTGGGATGCAAGCATGGAATTAGGAGAGGATTGAGAGGACACAGCTCCCTGGTTCAATGGGGTGGAGGGGAGAGCAGCACCGCCGCGCCGCCACAGGTCCCGAGCTTCCAGAGGGAGAAACACGAAGGCTGTCAGTGTTTGTCGGGATGGATGCCTTGTTAGGGGCTTTGTTGCCCTTATTTACCTGCGCAGTCCTGTTTCTGGGAGACATGATAGGTCGAAAATGGACTGGAGTATATGTTGTGGCTGAAACTTGCGTCAGGCAGCGCGGTGGTGGGCAGAGGCGGGCAGCAGGCACTCGTACTCACAGCCGGAGAAGATTGTTTTGAATTTTGTTTGAGATGGAATGAGTAGATTTGGGTTGGTTACTTTGAATGTGCTATGACATGCTTGGACTCCAAGTACTTAGCTGCCTGTGGGTGGTGGTCTACATCATCTGGGGGTAGTTTGAGGGCTGAAATACAGCGTAGAGTGAGGAGCGTCAGCGAGCACTCAACAGCGTCAGACGACGGATCGGTCTGCATTCCCAATAATGACTTTTGACAATGACAATGTAATGACTGATGATAATGACATTATCGGGAATGTAATGATTCCCGATAATGACTGGATAATGACAATGTAATGACTTTTATGTTCACAGAGGTGACGTGAAGAGTCTATTGCGCTGTGGAAATCAGTTCACCTTGGGTAGTCCAGAACTCCTAACTTGGCCTTGTGTGAGGACAAGTGGCCGCCGGTGGTAGGAAGCAATGTGTTAGTTGATGTATTTAGACAGTGTTGTGTGGACCGACGTACCCGGGATTTGGCCAAGAGGAGTTACAAGACGACAGTAGTGGCCGTCTGCTGAAAAGTGCTGCTAGTGTGTTGCTAGACTTCTGCCAGGGTGTTAGGGACCCCTGGAAGGGATTATTTGTGACCCCTGTCAGCATGTTGCTGAATCCCTCTGCCAGTGCGTTTCTGGATAGCTGATGTGTGGTATTGAAACATCGTGACGAAACGGTGTGTGGACTGGTCAATGTTGAAGGAGAACTCGCCTGTGATTATCATTGAACGCAGACGACGAATACTTGAAGATAGTGGACTCACCGGGTTTTGAAGAACATTGCAGATATACTGAGTGTCCTGGATGAAAGCGACACTGTGCACATAAGTGTATTTATCCTTCGATAGATAATATATTGGTAAAAGTGAAATTGCTAATTGTTTACCCCCTCCCCCCTTTATTCTTTGCAGTATTACTTGCTACTGTCAATTCTTGAAAACTTACCATTGACTTAGGGTGGGATCACAGAAGAGGCTCTAAGACACATTACGCAGGAAGAACCCGGTTACTGACTCAAGCAGGCCGTAACAGCAATCATTACAAGAACTCTCTCAATTTTATACTCCATGGAATATCTAATTCTATGGGGTGGTGGCAGCCTGTTTTGCAGTTTTGAGGTAAGCTATTATTTGAAGGCACCATCACCCCCATGTGAGTCCCACCAACCGCGCCCTTGGCATTGTGAGCAGTAAGCTAGCATTACCAGGTTACACTCTGCTATAGTTAAGATAAAATTATAAGGAAATATTACCATTTTACTGCAATTAAGGAAATATGACAACTTTACAAATGTGTTACAAAGTGCTACATTATGGGTGAGCAGGGTGGGGATGTTATGGGTGTGTGTGGTGGGGGGGTATTCACCTAGTGGTGCTTGCGTTGGTTGAGCTCTGCTCTTTCGGCCCGCCTCTCAACTGTCAATCAATCAACTGTTACTAACTAATCTTTTTTTTCCCACACACACATACACACACATACCCAGGAAGCAGCCCAATAGCAGCTGTCTAATTCCCAGGTACCTATTTACTGCATATTTAACAGGGGCATCAGGGTTAAAGAAACTGCTCATTGTTTCTTGCCGGGAACGTGGAGTGAGCTGGGAGGGGCTGTCATGGGATGGGAGTAAGGATGTTATGAGCCTGAGTTGGTGTGAGTAATGTGTTGTGGACTGTTACAGTGGGAGGGTAATGTGTTGTGGACTGTTACAGTGGGAGGGTAATGTGTTGTGGACTGTTACAGTGGGAGGGTAATGTGTTGTGGACTGTTACAGTGGGAGGGTAATGTGTTGTGAACTGTTACAGTGGGAGGGTAATGTGTTGTGGACTGTTACAGTGGGAGGGTAATGTGTTGTGGACTGTTACAGTGGGAGGGTAATGTGTTGTGGACTGTTACAGTGGGAGGGTAATGTGTTGTGGACTGTTACAGTGGGAGGGTAATGTGTTGTGGACTGTTACAGTGGGAGGGTAATGTGTTGTGGACTGTTACAGTGGGAAGGTAATGTGTTGTGGACTGTTACAGTGGGAGGGTAATGTGTTGTGAACTGTTACAGTGGGAGGGTAATGTGTTGTGGACTGTTACAGTGGGAAGGTAATGTGTTGTGGACTGTTACAGTGGGAAGGTAATGTGTTGTGGACTGTTACAGTGGGAGGGTAATGTGTTGTGGACTGTTACAGAGGGAAGGTAATAGTAATGTGTTGTGGACTGTTACAGTGGGAGGGTAATAGTAATGTGTTGTGGACTGTTACAGTGGGAGGGTAATAGTAATGTGTTGTGGACTGTTACAATGGGAGGGTAATGTGTTGTGGACTGTTACAGAGGGAAGGTAATAGTAATGTGTTGTGGACTGTTACAGTGGTAAGGTATTAGTAATGTGTTGTGGACTGTTACAGAATGATACAGCTGGGAACCACGAGCGGTGTGCAACACAGTATGAGGTGGTGCTGACGCCGACCACCGCGCCTGTAAACACAACATTAAAGACAACAGGACAGTCACTCCTCCTCAGTGACCTGGCGCCGGACACACCATATAACGTTATCATCACCGCCTCACACAATGGAACTTCAGTGATGAACACATCAGCTTTTCGTACTCTTTACAAGGGTAACATTATTGTTCAATTTCTTTGTTCTTTTATAACAATTTTGGCTCGTTTTCTCGCGCATGTTTATTGCTCCGCTTGTAAAGTGATCACTCATCACTGTAGTGTAAAGTGATCCCTCATCACTGTAGTGTAAAGTGATCCCTCATCACTGTAGTGTAAAGTGATCACTCATCACTGTAGTGTAAAGTGATCACTCATCACTGTAGTGTAAAGTGATCACTCATCACTGTAGTGTAAAGTGATCCCTCATCACTGTAGTGTAAAGTGATCACTCATCACTGTAGTGTAAAGTGATCACCCACCACTATATTGTAAAGTGATCACCCATCACTGTGATTTTTTTTTTATTTTTTTTTTATTTTTACATGCAAAGCATGCAACTTAAATACAATAACAACAACACAGAATACAGAACAGAACAAAAGAAAACAATAGACCACCGGCCAGAAGGGCCGACAGCATGTCACAATAAACCACAAACACGATAAAGGCACAGAAAAATACAGCATACAACAAGGTATAATACAATGGCATACAAGGTATAATACAATGGCAAACTAGCAAGCACAGTAACATCACAAAACAAAACCGTCATAAAACAAAACATACATCAAAGGCACAACAGGGAACATAACAGTACAAACACAATACATCCCAAACAAAACAAAGAACAAACACGTACAACAGGTAAAGCACGCCATAACAAACGGAAGGCAAAACAAAATGGCACAACCGAACAAAGAGCACTCGCCAACAGCCTGAAGGGCACACAATATGACATACACAAGCGCATACGACATCCACAACCGAACACACAAATACACAGGAACCGCACACCCACCTACCAGCCATACAAAGAAAACCTACAACATACACCGGAGCACGCAGGAACTGGGAAACAAAACCCACCCCACCCACTCACACACACACACCCCATCCGCACCGCACACAACAGGAAACACAGAATACACAGAAATCATTTGCGAGGAACAGCGTGAGAAATGTACTTCTCCGGGAAAACAGCGGAAGGATACTTCTTCTTGTAAGCTTCCCAGACCAAATCTTCAAGGTCGGTAGGGTTTTTTATCCCCCTCTCCCGAGGGGGTATCATAAACTCAGGAACATCTATATCGGGCGGCATCGGCTAACGCCCGAGGTCACTGACGCAAGTCGCATAACGAGGCCGGGGAGCGCCCTCCACGCCCATCGAGGAAGCAGACGACACTGGAGAAGCGGACGAGGGCCGCCGAGACTGCCACGAAGTCGCACACATAGGAGCAGGGGCCGGACGACGAGACTGTAGCACCTCCATGGATACCGCAGGAGACACAGAAGAGACTGCTGGAGACGGAAGAGGCGGCAAGACCGCTGCCGAGGAAACGGGTAACGAGGAAGGGGCCACAGAACTCTCAGAGCGAGCATCCTTTCTCAACACCATCACCAGGCCACCCCGCTCACCACCAACCACAGCAGGGGGAACCACCCTCCACGAAGAACCAGAGCCACCCCACGCAGGCAACGCACCTGAAGCAGGACCCTCGGACACCAGTCCAGGAGGGGAGGCCGAAACGCCGGCACCGGCATCCTCAGGCAAGTATACCTCCGCCGCCACCGTAGTGTGCACCACATCCGGAGCCACCCCACCATCAACGGAAGGACGACACTCGTCGAAGTCGCAAACTTCAGCCCACGCAGAAGAACGCCGGGAACGCTTAGGCTCGGGCCGCACATCATCAGACCCGGAGGCAGACTCAGCGACCCGCACAGCACCAGCCGAGCGAACCGACGCACGCCGCAGTACGGCAGCCTCCTCAACCACACGGGGCACCAGGCCAGGCACAGGAGGGAATGCTGGATCCACCCCAGCTCCCAGCACAGCCGGAACAGACGGCGAGGGTGCAGGGACCGGGACAGACACAGCAGAGGAAGAACTGGAAGACGAGGGGTCCGAGCAAACGGCAGTTGGAAGAGGCTCAGGGACACCAGCCGGAGCAGGCGAACCACTAGGCGTGGACACAACCTCCGGAGGAGATGCGGCAACAACAGGGGGGCGCAACAGGCAGAGCAACAGCTGATACAGAGGGCACCTCCTCAGCCGAAGAGACGTCCACACCCACCGAATCATCCCTCACAGGAAGGGGCGGAAAATCCTCCTCACTGAAGAGATTCACTGGAGCAACAGCAGGCGCAGAACAGGCAGCAGCCTGATGGCCCAAATGACCACAACGATAACACGTCCGCGGCTGGCGGATGTAAAACACCCGAACATTGTACCCCATAAGGCGCACAGAGGACGGAATATCCGCCCGGAGTCTCATGCCCAGGGTGCGAATGTTAGACCTCACACCCTTAAGAGGACTAGAAAACACCATGTTTACCCTCACACTAACTACCGCGCCAAACCGGCCGAAATACCGCCGTAGCAGAGCCTCTGGAAACTCCAAGGGAGCCCCATGCACACTGATGTAAGTAAGTGCACCACTTCTATCCGAGAGGGTTACAGTGCCCGCACCATCCGGCAGGGGTAGTGTCCGCCCCTCGTATCGCCGGAGAAAATCGCGATATGCCACCTCCTCTGTGAACTTCACAATCGCCCTACGGGCCGTTACCAACTCGACCCCATAAATCTCAAACACAGGGACAGAGAGCATTTCACAAGCCAGTGCAATCTCCGGGTAACCAGCCTGCACAGAGAACTCTAGTCCCAGAGACTGAGCCCGGACGACAGGGGGTAGAGGGACCCCCCATCATAACGCCACGTCAGCGCAGACGAGCGGAGACACACCCGCCCCCAACCGGCCGAAACTGGCAAACAACACCAACTGCTGGAGCGCCGATGCAACACGTCTGTCCTCTACCGAAGCTAGGGCCAGCTCCCCCATCACTGTAATGGTATAAAATAATGCCCGTGTAATTGTTATAAACCTAAACAATGCTTGTGGTGTTAGACTCCCCACTATCAATATTCAGCACACTTCGCCTCAACTAAATGAGTCAAAAGGTCTCGGAATATGGAAAATCTAAGGTATAACTACCTGTTTACTTGAAATTATTCCTAACTCCATGTAGTTGCTCCTAGGTTAAGCTGGTTAAGTTTAAGGTACATGAAACTCGATAATGTTGGTACACTAGACTTCAGCTAGATGCTGCTAAATATAAATAAGCTTAAGCTTATTAAATGACATAAAACTTAGTAACATTCTTACACTATGTTGAAGCTAGATGCGGTTATGTTAAAGTGATCATCCGTGAATCAACGTGAACTTCATCCAAACTTTAAAGTCACTATGGACTATCAATATAAAAATCTCACTCGACTCGACAAAGTTAAAAGTAACTAGGACTGGGCAACTTAGTCATTAGAAGTAACAAACTTGAATTCACAGCAGCTCAATCAAAAACTAAGTCCCCAAAAAGGACTGGGAAAGTAAGTGTTCACTGAAAAATGCAAATGAAAAATGCACTGAAAAAGTCCCAAATGCAACCTGGGATTGAGTTGAATCCCCGGTTGCATTATTTTATGAGCATGTCGTGGCCGAGTTGGTTAGGGTATATGCTTGGGAGTACCCAGTGTCCCGGTTCGAACCCTCATTATGCCTTTTATTGATTTTCTCATTGACACCACTCGTTAATGTGATTTCTCTATGCATAATTATAGTCACCTGACACCAAAAATATACAAGTCACAAGAAATGAAATTCATTGATAATCTTCCACAATTAATGTAAATACTTACCTTACCTCTGCATTACACGAAAAACATATTACATATATGTAATATATATATATATATATATATATATATATATATATATATATATATATATATATATATATATATATATATATATATATATATATATATATATATATATATATATATATTAGTATATTTTGGTAGCAGTCTTTCCTGTAGACATATATTATTAAATATGACCGAAAAAGTAAGATTAATAATTCTAACACGAATTTTTTCAATATTTCGTACATTTCTTTTCACTGTTGGAGGTAAATCAAAAATCAATTCTCCAAAATTCATTTTTATTTCTAGTCTGACGCGACACGAGCGCGTTTCGTAAAACTTATTACATTTTCAAAGACTCGTTCACAAATACACAACTGAATAGAACTTACGCATCTCCAATTTTATATCTACATTTGAGTGAGGTGGAAGGGGTGATGTGGCATTAACACAAGACAGAACAAGATGTGGCATTAATAGGGTATTAATTTCATCAACACAAGACAGAACAAGAGTATTAATAGGGTATTAATTTCATCAACACAAGACAGAACACGAAACAATGGATATTGAATAGAAGTGTTTGTAGAAAGCCTATTGGTCCATATTTCTTGATGCTTCTATATTGGAGCGGAGTCTTGAGGTGGGTAGAATATAGTTGTGCAATAATTGGCTGTTGATTGCTGGTGTTGACTTCTTGATGTGTAGTGCCTCGCAAACGTCAAGCCGCCTGCTATCACTGTATCTATCGATGATTTCTGTGTTGTTTACTAGGATTTCTCTGGCGATGGTTTGGTTGTGGGAAGAGATTATATGTTCCTTAATGGAGCCCTGTTGCTTATGCATCGTTAAACGCCTAGAAAGAGATGTTGTTGTCTTGCCTATATACTGGGTTTTTTGGAGCTTACAGTCCCCAAGAGGGCATTTGAAGGCATAGACGACGTTAGTCTCTTTTAAAGCGTTCTGTTTTGTGTCTGGAGAGTTTCTCATGAGTAGGCTGGCCGTTTTTCTGGTTTTATAGTAAATCGTCAGTTGTATCATCTGATTTTTGTCTGTAGGGATAACGTTTCTATTAACAATATCTTTCAGGGCCCTTTCCTCCGTTTTATGAGCTGTGGAAAAGAAGTTCCTGTAAAATAGTCTAATAGGGGGTATAGGTGTTGTGTTAGTTGTCTCTTCAGAGGTTGCATGGCTTTTCACTTTCCTTCTTATGATGTCTTCTTGACATACCAGAAAATATTCTGAGGAAACTACTCC